TCCATGCTAAGTTACTCTCCTTATTGGATCTTTTAGTTGTGTATAATTCTTGGTTTCGTGATATGGTATTGGAGATATGAGCAGGTGAGGTTTGGAATGGACCAGAGCATTAGCAGCAGTTGGTTGTGAGATGGTATGTGTAAAATGGAATCATGGTAATTACTTGGCTCTACTCATATAGGTAGGCTATATTTGAACCTCAAGGGAAGAATTCTCTTGCCACTTTTTAAGCTTTTTGTTTAGGTTTCCAACGTCAATGTGTGCCTGCATTATGTCAACATAATCAAGCTTAATTGAAAGCAATACTTCCCACTTTGTTCACTCAATTTTTCTGTGTTTCGCGGCTTTCTTATCTAACTTTTTTGTTTCTAAATTGCCTCTATGTTGGATATAACTTGCAGTTTAGGCTATGTAATCAACAACTAATGATTTAATCCATGACCTTCGGAAGAACGGTTTGAGTTTACATTTTCCTTATGTCATTAGTTCTTATAAGTAATTTGTTGAGTTCTTATGCTAATGTACGGTCTCTTTTTTCTTTTTTTCCTTTAGTAGTTTGGTCCAAGAAATGATGTGATCATTAATTTTTTCTTTAAGATCACTAGGTTCATCGATTTAGTTTGCCAATCAAGCATTTAACCTTCGTTTAGTTCCTAATTGAGAGCGTAAGATCATTTGTATAATAATAGTACATGCCTCCGATACTGTGTTAAGATGGAACTGAAATGAGTTGGATGTAATGTATTTGTTTGGTCCACTTTTATTCAGTGTTCAAGAAGACGCGATTAATCTCTCGCCTAGGCGCGATTAATAGCTGGGCAGGAGGAAATCGCACAGTCTAGCTCTGGGCGATTGATCTAGGCACCTGGGCACTCGGAGACGCGTTTTCACTTTGGTGGGCGACGCCCAGAACAACTAATAAAGGGGAAATTGTAGCCTTTTTGTGAAAATCCCAAACCCTATTCTATTTCCCCTTTCCACCCGCTCTGTAGCCTCCCCGAGAACCTGCCCAATCCTCCTGGAAGATTGATCAATCTGCACTCGCATTTGCCGGATTTGGTAGGCTAACTGGGTTGCCGGCGCCAATAGTCTCTCGAAGGCCCAGAGGTTTCTATTTTTCCGTAGTTGCCAACAGAAAGTAGCGAAGAGGGATGCGTCTATCGGTCTATGGTATTAATAGTCATCTTTATCACTATGCTTTTCATTTTATTTGTTGCTTCTAATTATAATGATCAACAAATACGTCAATAAAATATGTGATCGCGTTGACCTATGAATCAATTTGGAATTGTGCAAGTTGTTGAAAATAAACACTATTTCAAGAGACATTGTTTTATGCAGGTATAACAGCTCCATTCTCTACTAGCAAAAGCAAAGTCGATCATTTGCCTGGAGGGAGGGAAACATCTTTGGGAATCTTCTTGAAATTCCCCGACTTTTATTGTTGATCATCTAACCTTCCAAAAATAGCGATGAGCATAATGTAATTGTCCATTTTTTTGCAAGAGGATAATAGATTACCAACTAATTCACTAATAATTATTGAGCTTTACGGATGGTATTCTTTTTAATTAATTTTCTTTAGTATAGTTATTTATTGTTGTAAATTTTCACTTCATAATGTTAGTATACGTGTAACTATAAACATAATTGTTGAAAGTGTACTAATATTTGTGGATACTCGAAACCTAATATGCTATGAAATAGGTGGCAGACACAAGGACTGTCGTAAATTTAGCATATGTTATACTATCGAGCTAAAAGCCGAGCACAAAGCTAAGAACAAATTTATGGGCACACAAATTTTTAACAAAAAAGTTTTTATTTGTTGGTGGTATATATTTGTTATAAATTTTTAGAATCTTTCAAATGACATAGTAGACAAATCTATAAGTGTTGACTTTTAGATATCAAAGGCAACACCAAAATAAATTATAAAAAATCCATATTGATTTCCGAAAATCATGAATCTTTTTCAGAAACTTAATTTTCACAACAAATGATTGTATGTTTGAACTATAGAGTGCCTTATTTAATTAAAATTTGAAGAAATAATTGGAATATTTCAGATATGTCCATTATAATACAATTGTACTATCTGTATACATTAATGTTAGCTATTAACAACCACAAGTGCTTTTGGAGATATATATTATTTAAAAGTGAATTATTAGTTAATAATTTGTATTTTCTCAATTAGTACCTAATGGTTGTGGACCATAAAATTTGAATCCTTTATTTGATAAATTTTTAGCCCTCCAAATTACTAATAGGGAAAATCCCTTGGAGTTTATAATTAATACTTCAATGCTTAATTATTTTATTTTCATGGATATAATAGAAAAATAAGTGAATAATATCAAATTTTATGAAGAAATATTTTTTAAGTAATTTATTCTAACAATAGGAAGTGATTTTTTTCTTAGATGTAAAAAATATATAGACAACAGTAAGAGATAGTATGATCAATACAAATACTTATAAACTAACTAATGTTACAATCAATAATTCGCACAAATATTAGTTTCAACCCATTAATAAATTATTTAGACGATCCCAAATTATTTGAAAATATGAAAAAATAGATTAATATAAAAATATAATAAATAAAACTAAATTCATCCGACCAACGGGTCGGGTAAAAAGCTAGTAATTTACTATTTAATCTAACTATAATTGGGAGTATTCTAGACTAATAGAGCGACTACTCGGAGTTTTGGTTTGAGTATGAGAGAGGCACTTAGGGCTAGCTTCCCCTTAAGCCTAAATAGACTCGAATTTCGATACAAATGTGATGTTCTTTCCCTTTATGATGTTGGATTCCTCTTATATCGCTACTAGAGCAATGGTCATGTCACCTAGAGCAACATGACTTCATCCATCTCTCAAATATGGGGAAAAAGAAGCCCTTTAGTTAATCTCTTCATCCTCTCTTACTAATATGTCTAGATTAGGGTTTGACTTGAATATATCATTTCACTAATGTTGTGTGTTTGTGTCAAACTGAAAGTAGGAGTGTGACACGAGGGATTGAGTTGCGAGTGAAAGAGTGATCGCTTTAATACTTCAGAGGGTTACAAGCAATTGGGAGAGAAGATCTCTAGAGAGAGAAGTTTACAATTGTAGAGAGAAGGTCAGAAAATCGATCCCCTCACCTACCGGAGTAAATGCTCTATTTATAAGCTTTACTTCGGTGTGTGGGGCATTAAATGCGAAGTGACGTTTGAGCAAGTGGTAAGCATGGACTCTGGTCAGGGTCGTCTTGATACGCAAGGCCTTGTCAGTGATACGACATCGTTTCACATTCTTCCTTCCGCAGGTAACTATCTTCAACCGCTCCTTGCCTTAGCCGTGGAACCATAAGGTCTCAGTTTCTTCTCGTGGTTGTGTGACCGCGTCAGCTCCTGTGCTGTATCCCAACATTGTGAAAACCGAACACGAGTATGGACCGCTATTGGCTCACACTTTAATGGTTTAATCGATATTAGACCGTTAAAAACCCGTTAATGAACTGTTCCTTATAAAAAAATAATATAAGTAAAAGAAATATAATATATACACTAAACCATTATTTACTAGACAATTTAATGACTGAAATGAAATTTGCTTTAGATGTATCATTTAGTAATTTGCCTTAGTATACATAATACTATTTAGCCGCCTCTCCATCCCAATTTCGCTATGGTGCACATAGCATTTTTTGTGTGCATCAACTCATAATACTCTCATTGGTCCACATCACCCAAAGTCAAAATGAGTGGCTGAAAATTGTTGGCTTGGGAAAGGATTTAATGGGTAAAAAAAGTGACTAAGCTCAATCCAGCCAAGCCAAGCCAAGCCATCCTCTTACTCTCAATGGTGGATCTCACTAGGCTACCACTTCACTCTCTCCTTATTTCTTCCTTTCCCAACAAAAAAGAATAATCTTCTCTCTCATTTTTCTTTTTCTTTCTCTACTCTCTTCTCTTATTTGAAAAAAAAATCTTCCAAAGGAAGAAATTTAAAAACATGAGAGATGCTAATTTTAAATTTAGATTTTCAATTTTTTTATCTGCATTGTTCGTGTTTAGTTCATTCTATCTAAATAAGGTTGTACTTCCATTAAAAAAAACAAATTATATATGTACCTACTCTTTGTCCAGACCATCCAAGTCAACCTTTCGCCACCATGCAGAGTTGTGAAACTGAGTCGGTGATCTGCTCTGCCTTCTTCTCTAATAGAACCACTAGAACTCAACTGAAGCCCAAACCTTAGTCGTACTTTCGGCTCTCCTCATCATCAAGTCTGCAACCAAAAGATGTTATATTCTTAAAAGGGTTAATTATATGGTTGGTTAATGAGATTACAAAAAAATGTTCATGTTTGGTCACTGGAAATATTTAAATCCAATCTTGGTCACTCAAATTAGTTAAATGGTTCAAGTTTGGTCACTATCCGTCCAACTCCGTTAAATTTGTCTGATGTGGCAGTCAATTCTCAAAGTTGACCGTTAACTCGGTGACGTGTCAATTAAAAAATAATAAATAAATTAAATTTTAATCTTCTTACCATTTCCAAATTCATTTTCACAATAAAGTAAAATAAAAAAATAAAAAATTATTATAATCACAAATTGAAAGAGTAGCTTCCTCCTCCGCCACCACATTTCACTTTCTCTCTGCCCCGTGGGAGGAAACTTCGAGCTTTGATCTCTAAAGCAATTCGAGAGATAGATTTTCCTTTAGATTGTGGTCAATGATCAATACGACTACGCTCTGAAATCCAATTATTGGAACCCCCTTACTAAAAAGTCCAAGCAAGCCAGCAAAGCCCTGGACTTCCTTCTGTATACCATTACCATTCCTTTCACTTGGACCCCAAAATGGAGAATGCAAGCGAAATGGCGATTGCCCAGATGAGGAAATCGGTGGAGAAGCTTGGTTCTTCGACTAAGGTTACTTTTCCTGCTAGTTCCACTGCCTTCGCCTCCTTCAAGAATGAAACCGTCGAAGCTGCGGTGATGATGAGCCCGACTTCCATCCTAGACAGCAAGTCCTTCTCCGGCCTAAAAAACCCATTCTCCCCTGAACTCGCTTCTCCCGCCGCCGACGACGCTCCCAAGCGGAGCCAGTACTGGGAAACCTCGATTCCCCTAAAATCGGGCTCGGCCTTGTCGACGTTCTTTTCTCTGATCAGAACAAGAGCCCCCTAAATTCATCAACAAAATTACCCGCCGAGAGCCGAATGGTTCTGTTAGAGTCCCAGCTCAAGATCCAGATCCCTTCTTCCTTGCTCTCCTCCCGTCTTCTTCCCCAGCAGCAGGGTCTTCCCCCAGATCTCCGGCCGATTTCGGGATCAAGACGAGGAACTCTCAATTGGGCAGTTTCTTTCTCCTCCTCCGGTCTATCCCCATCCCTCGTACTGAAATCCACGACGTTTGGGTCGGACAATTCGGGTCTGGACGCCTCGAACTCACCGCCGCAGCGGGTCTTCACCGCCAGCGAAATGGAGCTTTCCGAGGACTATACCTACGTCATCTCCCACGGCCCCATCCCGAAAACCACTCACATATTCGACGCTTGCATCATCGACGCCTGTTGCGGCGTGTTTACCCTCGATCCCTCGGTCAAAGAAGCGTCCGACGATTTCTACCCTTCTGAGAGCGTGATTATAATAATATTTTTATTTTACTTTATTGTGAAAATGAGTTGGAAATGGTAGAATATTAAAATTTATTTTATTTATTATTTTTTAATTGCCACGTCACCGAGTTAACGGTCAACTTTGAGGGTTGACTGCCACATCTGACAAATTAGCGGAGTTGGACGAAGAGTGACCAAACTTGAACCATTTAACTAATTTGAGTGACCAAGGTTGGATTTAAATATTTCCAGTGACCAAACATGAACGTTTTTTGTAATCTCAGTGACGAAACCATACAATTAACCCATTCTTAAAATATCATAAAATCCAACATTGACTTACACGTGTCCTCCATCCTAATCGATGACCTCCTTCTTTTAAAAAGCCTCGAGGCCATTCTTCAATTTTTTTACTACCAACCCTGCCCGGTTGTATGTTCTTATCTGCTGGGGCCTTCCCTAACTACGGGTAATACATTGTCTAAATAGAAAAACTCAACGGGCATATGGTATGTACGCCCGGATGTACGCTAGCCTTTGCCATATATATATATATATATATATATATATATATATATATATATATGGCGAGTTCTATCGTACCCCGGGTGAATTCTGGGGTATGGCGTACCTTGATGATCTTAACCGTACGTGTGATCTCGACGGCTGAGATTAAATTTTATTAATGATTTGTTTTTTCGGAATTTATATTAAATAAAATTACAGGAAGACTCATAGAATTAGTTTTTCTTTCATTTTAGTCCTCTATGTCCGTGGGTTGGGTTTTTTCAATATTTTGATTGAACCCAAATTCAACCACCCCAAAACATAAAGGGTACCTACCCCATCCAACCTACCAGCGCTTCGTTCCCCCCATCCCGACCCTCTCTTCTCCGCTGCTACACGCCGATACCTTAATGCCCTATCCTCTTCCCCTGTTCCTCCGTCCTCCGCCGCTAGACGCCGCTAGCCCTCTCCCTACCCTTTCTAATCTCCCTTGTCGGCCCCAAATTCATCGCTCACCAACAACTTAGATTCTCCTTGCGGAAGGGATTTCGAATCCTTGCAACCAGAAGAAGAAGGAAGGGTTCTCCTCTGCTCGCTTTTTCTGGCGATTGGCGTTATGGCTTCTCGAACGAGTTGCAGAGACCTTCGTCGAAAGGAAAAGGGGTGACCTCCCCACCGGAGAGTCCTCCCACGACGACACAAATGGTCTTTGATGACCCCGACACCATTAGCCTCGCTTCCAAGTTCCGTCACTAACAGATCAACGGCGGCGCCTCAATGTTCTATCATTGATGATGTCAAACCTTCCTGGGTCAAGTTCTGCGAATTTTGTTTATCGCACATATTTGTGTTAAAACTAGATATGCCATACCCTCAAAATCAATAATAGGGACCATGTTGTATCAGTATGCTATTATGGAAATTTTGGGGATTTATGTGGAGCAGAAAACTGAAGTTTGAATTTGAAAAAAAAAACTGAATTTGAAATACGAACAGGAAGAAGACGATCGAAGTGAAGCTTCTGATCGTTTCTCAACCACTCACGAGATGGAATGTGGGCTAACATCATCACACTTATAGTTTCCATAAACTTAGCATACAAAACAAGAAACATTGGCAAACTTAGTGGTTAAGCTAGTAGTTTACTATTAAGTTTGCTAGAATAGGTGTAGGGTTCGAATACTAGTTTCACCCATTATATTTAGTTTTTTTATAATTATTAGCGGTTTTAATGTTTCTTCTTTGAAATCACTTGTTCATAGTTGATAACCCTCTCCTTGTTAGTCAAGTTTTTGGAAAAAAATTCATTTTTCTATTTAGAATTTTATTTTACAACTACTCATAAATAGTAATTCTACACGACATGTCATTTTTGTCACACACCACCGTTGTGCCCACCTCCACCTTGCCAACTTTGCGTTAACCCAAAACTAGTACAAAGGACTAGTACATCCCAAAACAAACCTTTGCTAAACCACGTGAAAGGGCATTTGTAGTGCAGTCTAGTGACTAAGTTTGAAATTCTGCCTTGACAAACTTATAAACGTGAAAGCTCCATGTTCCGAATGGTTCAATATTCTGCCTTGACACTGATGCGTGTAAAATGGATTGGTTATTATTATAAAAGAGATGCAGTGTTGCTTTAAAAAAATTTGTAGCGTAAACGATTTCATATACTAAGACGCATGTAACATAGTATATAACATTATAGTTGAAAAGTGAGACTTTGACATCGATAGAAGTTTTACATTGATAGAAGTTTGTCGGTTGAGGTAGAATGTCTTGTTCCTTATAAATATATTTATATCAGGCACTATCATGACATCGATACCTATGGCCAAGTCACGATGAGGTTATGATAGATCAAGGTTTATGAGATTTTTGTCGGAGATGATCCTATCACGTGGAACAATTGTTCTTTGTCATTCTAGATGATCAGTGAAATTCGCTAGACAGCTAAAGTACCATAGGTTGTTTTGAGATCCTAATTATTTGTTCACTATCGATTCGGATTATTTGTTGTCTAAATAATCCGATCGATTGATTAAAAAAGGCCTCGTATTTTTTGGCCATTAAAAAGGCCTCATGTGAATTCGAACATGCCTTTTGTACCAGGCCCAATAAGGCCCTTAGCAATAGCAGATCGGCGGCACAACTCATTTTCCCATTATTTTTATTCTCCCAACACAGATCAATTATGGCAAAGTTGAACAACTGAAAGACTAGCCTACAAAATCAAGCAATCGATCCATATCCCTGCTTTTTCTTCCCCCCATGCGCAGGCTTCTCTGTTTTCCTTGAGAAAGAAAACTTAACCGCCCTCCTCCTTCCTTCGCTTCCGCCTCCCTTGCATGCAAGCCTCCCCCTCCGCCTCCGCCTCCGCCAGTCAATCCACCGCTGGTCGGCGGTCGCTCAATGCCGGTATCCACCTCCGAGCCACCATCGTCACCTGCCACCGCCGCCGCTGATTCGCTCGAGGGGTTGTGGGAAGAAGAGCGGTAGAAAGTTCCCAGGACGAAAGGCAGGAGAAAGTTAGGGAGAGAGCAGCAAGGGTAGGGTTGTCGTCTGTTGACAGAAGAGCAGGCGAAGGAAAATCCTGTGGGAAAAAGGAATTCCAATCGGCGTCTTCCTTCCTTCCCGGACTAACAACGAGTTGCCGCCGACCACATTTCCACCGCCGCAGGTACATTTTTGTAAATGCTTTTTAACTATTTGGTACGGTGGATTAGAGTATCTGACGTAGTGTGTTGTTATACTCGTAGGTGTAATTTTCTTACAATGGATCGTGTATCTCAATGGTACCCGTAAGTATTGTTTACCAACTAATCCTTAGACTGTCTACTCCGCTTCCTTTTCGTATGGTCAGACATTAGTAACGGTTTTATTTGTAGGGATTTTATGGTTGAGCCTGGTTTCGTTGCAAAGCTGCGGTATGAGGAAGCAGCTTCTATGTCTGAATTTACGGAATCACTTGGTCTTATATTGTTGCAGGAGAATGGTGATGTTGAGGTTATTGAAATAAATTTTTTTTTGTCATTCATCATTCTCGCTCTCGTTTGCACTTTTTCTGTTTGTTAATGCTTGTTAATTTTTTTTTGAAAATCCATTTGTTGTTTTAAACACCAGGTCACTTCTTACCTCTTCTCTGGACGTGTCACCGAGTTGAGGACATCATGGTGTGCTGCATCTAGAGGGCACTTCTTACCTCTTCTCGGTACAGAATAGCGAATTGGCTCCTCGACCAAAGTCACCAATTCGCTACCTTCGATTAAGGATACTCTATCAACCTAGGCAGATATTCTCATTCTAGGTCAAAGCAGAAACAACAGGAATTTGATCAGGATTCAAGTCATTCAAACCTCAATCGAATATAATCAATTCACAAATTCTGTACTTGGGTTCATACAATCAGACCTAGCATACAATTCTAGGGTTCCCCATACCCAGATGAATGGGGGAACTACTCCATAGAGAAAGAAGCAAAAGCAGATTCAGACGCGGAAATCATACTGTGAAGACGGATTCCTGCTCCTGGACGGTTAATCGGCACTTCTCCAAGCTCAAGCCGGGCTCCAATGGTGATGAAGATCAAGCTATGGCACTTGGGAACTCTGGTTCGTCGCTTTCTCTCTCTAGGAATCTATTTCTCTCTCAAAAACTCGGAACCCTTCAATGTTGGCCTTCTTCTTCCTTTTATCAGCTGCCTGGTCGCGATACCCGGTCGAAATACCCGGTCGGGTATTTTGGGTTTCGACCGGGTATTTCCAAAACTCGCCGTTTCACTTAAGGGAAAATCCCCTGTCACTCTCCATAATCCCCGACCGGGGATTTTAGCCATTTTGCCCGGGCCCCCCTCTGCTTCTCACGGGGCCGAAAACGATAAATACCCGGTCGGGTATTTTGCCACCTGACCGGGTATTTTCCTCCTGCAGCCCCCTTAGTCCCAACTCGGCTCCTTTCGACCCAGAAATCGTTTCTCCGCCTCGATTCCAACGCCGGGTCCTGAAATATGACATAAACACACAACCTAGCGTGAAATCGGCTTAAAACACGAGATTCCTCATCACAAACGGCTTCAGAAAAGGGGTGAAAACATGTATAATTATCGGTCTAACGTTTGCTTGTCCCTAAGCCAACCAAGTCAGACACCAGGTAAGCTCAAAATGTTTCAATCGAGCAGGCTTCAGGGCAAATCGTATCGGCACAAAACACGGATCATACTGGCTTTCGATCATCAACACATGGCAACTCGAATGACAACCTAGACAACCACCACAGACGACATTCGAATGCAATAAAGTCGAGCAAAGGAAGAGTTCTCTCCTGTTCACCAACCAACATAGACTTGACTCAATCACTTGTTCAAAACAGTCACTTCATGCACAAAGCTCAAGATATCAGAATTAAAATAGAGCAATCTAGGTCCTCACCGGGGTAAAGAGTATAGAGAAAATGAGAAAATGAATCGCTCACTCTCGACCAGTGTGGTCAGGACAAATTGATGCGAAAAATGCGCATGCTTAGTCTCTCAATCCCTAACGTCTCTTCACCATGAATGCAGCCTCTAAATGC